TGTTTAAGTCAGTTTTAAAGAGTGGATTTGATGGGCTCTGAAGTCCTCTTGGGGATCAGGAATTGGTTAAGAGTAGGACTAAATGGACAGTTGTCTGAATGGAGAGAACAGAAGTCCCCAAGAATTGGTATTGGGACCTGGGATGAAAAGGTACATATTTTAATCTTAGCATCAGAAACAAAGGAACCTGCTTTATATCAGAGCAAGCTATTTGTCCACCTAGCTTCATGGACTTACAGAATTGCAGAACTGGAAGAAACCCATGGGCAAAATGGATTTCCTACGCCAGTTGCGGAGCCGCAATGTCACCACAAACAACTGAGATTAGGAAGCAGAGCATATTTTCTCTTATTCTGACTGGCAGCAGCTTCCCAGGGTGTTGGGCAGAGAGAGGTCTTTCCCATCACCTATGGCCTGATCCATTTCAGATGAGGATGCCAAGGATACAGCCTGGGACCTTCTACATGCAAAACTCAGCTAGGAGGCCTCCCCATATAATCTAGGGGTGATCCCTGCACTTCTGGCTGTGTGCTCTATATAGGCAAAAGCCACCTGCAGCAGAGGTGAACTAGAATTGCACACAATGTCAAAAATCAATCATTTAAAAAAGTCCCCCCCCCCAATGTTTGCTTTTAAAATATATTTTTAAAGAATTTAAAAGTATTGAGATTTATTTATTTTTGAAGCATCCAGAGACAATAAATTCTTTGAGGAATCTGCTTCCCAAGGGAGCTTGCTGAGCTCACCCGCGGGTGGTGTTCAGGAGTTCGGCAAAACAACAACAACAATCTTGTTTACACATGCATTTCTGGCCCCCAGCTGATTCCAGTTGGTTGTTTCATGTGGTACTAATACTCTTGTTTTCCCCTGGTTTTTGTTTTGTGTGTTTTCATCATTTTTTGGTCTGAGCCATTGGGGAAGGCGGATGAGGGGAGAGAAGAATGTGGAGCAACGTGAGGTAATGCATGCAAATCAAACCATATAGTGACTAAATTTCTAAAAGGGGCTTTAATCCTCTAATCTGGCAACCTATGCCATTTTGTCCAAAATATTCTGGCAGCGCCAGCCCTATCATTAGGCGGCTGCTTCAGGCAACAGAATACCCAGGGCTGGGGAAGGGACAGCAACTTGCCCTGAGCCCCCTAAACTAGCCTGTTTCCATCAGGGGCCGTGAAGGGTGCTGTTACGTCACCAGTGGTGAAGGAAGATCCAATTGCCAATTGCACTTGTCCTTCACTTCACACGGCAAAATCTGGGGGCTAGCCGGCTGCCATCAATTGCATGGCAATCAGAGGTGCTTTTTCTGTGCATGCTCAAAGGCATGGCTCAACATATTCTAGGCCTAGCTCCTGCCATACAGAACTTATTCTGGGCTAATCCTTCACCTGTTTCTAGGCTAAAAGGCAGAATATGAGGTCACATTCATACCACATGTTTAAAGCACTCTTAAACCACTTTAGCAGGCCTGGCTCACCCCCAAGAATCCTGGGAACTTTGGTTTGTTAAGGGTGAGCTAGAATTGAAATACTTTATTGTCTGGAGGTTCTAGCAGGGGAGCGCAGCTATCGTATACCCTTGACCGAAGAACGGTACACTCCTATCTGGGATGGTCGTCCTCTTCCACCGAGCGCGCAGCTTTGGGAGGGACGCACATGGAGCGGTGAGGGAGGAAGGGGACACCCGCCTAGCCAGCCAGATCAGCCAAATCAACCCTGGCGATCAATGAGGTGACAGATGTCGCAGCCAGATCGCCCTCACATCCTTTACTTTAAAACAAAAAAATTCCTTCCAGTAGCACCTTAAAGACCAACTAAGTTAGTTCTTGGTATGAGCTTTCGTGTGCGTATCTGAAGAAGTGTGCATGCACACGAAAGCTCATACCAAGAACTAACTTAGTTGGTCTTTAAGGTGCTACTGGAAGGAATTTTTTTGTTTTGACTATGGCAGACCAACACGGCTACCTATCTGTATCCTTTACTTTTGTCACTTGTACAACTTGTATACAGTGAGATTACACAAGCACCCCCCACTCAGCTCTCTTAGTCTTAATTCCCCTTGTTTACTGACACACACACATCAAACCCGAAAGTCAGTTGCCCAGTTGTTATCTTTTCATTCAGCAGCCTAACAGCCCACGGATAGAAGCTGTTCTTTACCCTGTTGGAGCGACTAATTCCCAGCACCCTAAACAAACTACAGTTCCCGGGATTCTCAATGACTGTTAATCAAGCTTTAAATGTATGGTGTGGATGTGACCTAAAGTCTGAAATACATTTTCTTTAAAAGAAACCAGCTAGGCAATTTTCACATACTGCTTCCTTCTCTGCTCAAGATCAACAGAGTGCCAGCCTGCTGAACTGGAGTCCAGTGACAGATAGGACGCTTTATTTTATTTAATGTGTACATTTATTTTCCACCTTTCTTCTATCGCAGAACTCAAAAGTTGCCTACGGGGAGCTTCCAGATGGTCTCCCATCCAGGCACCAATGAGGAGGCCTGCGCTTGCTTAGCATTAGCAAGGCATTTGCCTCTTGTGCCCTCAGACCATGTCCTTATCTGACACCATTTCATTATATAGACATCATTTCTTTGGGTTTGAATGGCGACATGGCTGGTTAAGTGGTTGCAAACAGTAATTACCCTCACATGTAATGCAGATTGAACATCAGCCTGAGAGGGTTGGTTATGTCTGGGGCCTGTCTACATTTATGGGCTTGTCAATTTCTAAATGAATGTTAATTTCGCTTGGTTGAGTCATGCATTGTGCCTGTTTGCAGAACGTGTTCCTTCGTTGCCTTTTAAAATCACCTTGCAAAATATAGACTCTGCACACTCCCAGATGCAGGCATGCATGTGTTTACAGATACCTAGCAGAGAGGCGCTGAGTCTATGAATTTTATTTATACAGCACCCACAACACACACCCAGAAGAACATCTTCACAGTTTCTTCTTGCCTGTTAAGCTCCTGGCTTTTAAGGTAAAAGGTAAAGGTAAAGGGACCCCTGACCATTAGGTCCAGTCGCGGACGACTCAGGGGTTGCGGCGCTCATCTCGCTTTATTGGCCGAGGGAGCCAGCGTACAGCTTCCGGGTCATGTGGCCAGCATGACTAAGCCGCTTCTGGCGAACCAGAGCAGTGCACGGAAACGCCGTTTACCGTCCCGCCGGAGTGGTACCTATTTATCTACTTGCACTTTGACGTGCTTTTGAACTGCTAGGTTGGCAGAAGCAGGGACCGAGCAATGGGAGCTCACCCGGTCGCGTGGATTCGAACTGCCGACCTTCTGATTGGCAAGCCCTAGGCTCTGTGGTTTAACCCACAGTGCCACCCGCGTCCCTACTTTTTAAGGTACTGCAGGGCATTTGGTGTTTTCTCAAAGGATCAGAAGGGGGGAACCTTTGGCAACTCTTGATGTTGCTGGACTCCCAGCTCCTGTCATCCTTGCCCACTGGCCCAAGCTGCCTGGGGCTGGTGGGACTTGGGAGTCCAACAACATATGGGGAGTATTGGTTCCCCATCCCTGGGATAAAGTGTAGTCACACGGCAGAGAAAGCTCTCATTTCAGCCCTGGGTTAAATCCTGCCATAAAAACAAAAGCCTCTTGCTGGGATGACAACCCCTGCACTTGTCTTTAGCCTTCCTGCTACTGGCAAGGTGGCTTCTGTTTTTTACCTGTGCTCCCTCCCAGTTTACCAGAGTCCCCAAGGCATCTACTAGCCCCCTGCTCTTTGTTCTTCCTCCTTCCTTAAAGCACACAAAAGTTCTCAGATTAGCTATTGTACTTGGCAGCAGCATAGCAGGGAGGAGGGCGTCAACCCATCTCATCTGAGGTTGTGTGTGGGGAGTGCCGTGGGGCTGGGGGAATGGGTTTAGTAGTTACTTGGCACCCTTCTCCACAGCTGGGAGGCAGAGTTCCCCAGGCGAGTCACTTGGCTACAGCCCCAGCTCCATTTCCACCAGCCATCAGAGCCGTGATCAATGTTTAATTAGATGCGATTTAATTACCCGCTTGCTCCTCCGTCACCAGTGCTGACAAGTGAGCTCAAGTTCCCAGCACAGAGAGGACAGGCAAGATGTCAAAGGCAGGATGCGAGAGCCAGGCCTTCCTCCCCCCCCCCCCCACCTTCTGAGCAAAGGTTTCGCCCTTGACCCTATAATTGATGCAGAATACGGCTAATGTCTTATTGAACCCTGTAATTGAGGCGGGATACAGGCAATGCCCAGGGCCCTGTATTTCTTCCTTAGCCAGCATTGTCAATATTCGCCACACCTGCCTGGCTGCACTGCGGGAAGGAAAAGGCTGCAAAATCCTGCAGGGCATGTGGGGAGAGCAACACACTCTCCTACTGGGAATGAAGGGCAAGTCCCCCCCCCCAATAGAATTCATAGAATCCTAGATCATCATTCTAGTCCAACCCCATGCAATGCCAGAATATGCAGTTGTCCCATACGGGGCTCGAACCTGCAACCTTGGTGTAATCGGCACCATGCTCTAATGCAGGCTTCCTCAACCTCGGCCCTCCAGATGTTTTTGGCCTACAACTCCCATGATCCCTAGCTAGCAGGACCAGTGGTCAGGGATGATGGGAATTGTAGTCTCAAAACATCTGGAGGACTGAGGTTAAGGAAGCCTGCTCTAACCAACTGAGCTATTTGACCACTGAGCTATTCATTTGTTGTTGTTGGTTTTTTAAAAAAAAACAGCCAAGAGAATACATGTGACTGGGCTGTATTTAGTGGTGAGGGAAATGCTCTCTGTGAATGATCAGGGCCACGCCTCTTCAGTTTTATTTCCTGGTGTTTCAGGGCAGAGTTCTTGTATGGAAACGGGTCCTAGATTTGGAGTGACAAGTTCTGGAGCTAAGCTCTGGTGCAAACTGAGCCACAGGGAGCTCACAAAGCCCAGTCACCTTCTTCTGGGAATACACAGCACTTCGAACACTGCACAAACACACATTCCTCAGGCTTTAGTACAAGACCAGAATGGGAAACTCAGTACCTGTGCGGTCAGAGTCACTCTCCCCGGTGCTTGAGGACGGACTGCCCACAGGTCCCGGTTTGTCACCCTCACGGGCTCCTGATTCCTTCTGCCGCGTCCTGGCGGCCTCAATTCCCTTTACTCGCCGGGCATGGCGGTTCCCCTTGTAGTGTGCTTCGGCTTGGCTCTGTGGAAAGGAGAAAGCACGTAAGCAATCCGGCAAACCACAGGCCTATGCCTGCATACTTCTGGTGCTGCCTCTGCAACCGAGCCAGCTGTCAGTACCGCTCAGCGTGAAGCCACAGCCCCTCACCCCTGCCACAAACCTGTCCTCCTAGGAATAAAGGTAAAGGGACCCCTGACCATTAGGTCCAGTCGTGAGCGACTCTGGGGTTGCGGCGCTCATCTCGCTTTACTGGCTGAGGGAGCTGGTGTACAACATCCGGGCAGTGGCGTAGCGTGGGTTGTCAGCACCCGGGGCAAGGCAAGTAATTTGCGCCCCCTAACCCATGGATTTGTGCCCCCTAACCCGTGGATTTGCGCCCCTAACCCTAACCCCCAGATGTTGCGCCCGGTGCGGCCGGCCCCTCCTGCACCCCCCACGCTACGCCACTGCATCCGGGTCATGTGGCCAGCATGACTAAGCCACTTTTGGTGAACCAGAGCTGCGCACGGAAACGCCGTTTACCTTCCCGCCAGACCTATTTATCTACTTGCATTTGACATGCTTTTGAACGGCTAGGTTGGCATGAGCAGGGACAGAGTAACAGGAGCTCACCCCGTCGCAGGGATTCGAACCGCCGACCTTCTGATCGGCAAGTCCTAGGCTCTGTGGTTTAACCCACAGCACCACCCCCGTCCCTTAGGAATACTGTTCAGCTAAAACTGAAGCCAGATCACATAGTGCTGTAAGTCTGGAGCCCAGAGGTAGCCAAGCTCGTGCCTTCAGATGCTGCACTACATCTCTCCTCATCCTCAACTGTAAGAACATCATCGGGCCAACCAGGTGGTTGTGAGAAGCCCGTAAGCAGAACCCAAGAGCTCTTTCCTCTCCTGTGGTTTCAAACAAGTCGCATGAGAAGCATATTGCCCCTGACAGTGGAGGTAGCCATTGATAACCTTATTCCTCCATGAAGTTGTCTAATCCTCATTTGAAGCCATCACTTCTTTTTGTGGGAGCAAAATCCAGAGGGAAAGAAGTACAGTGGTACCTTGGGTTACATACGCTTCAGGTTACAGACTCCGCTAACCCAGAAATAGTACCTCGGGTTAAGAACTTTGCTTCAGGATGAGAACAGAAATCGTGCTCCGGCGGCACAGCAGCAGCAGGAGGCCCCATTAGCTAAAGTGGTGCTTCAGGTTAAGAACAGTTTCAGGTTAAGAATGGACCTCTGGAACGAATTAAGTACTTAACCCGAGGTACCACTGTACTTCTTTTGTCCTATCCTAAACCTTCAGCTTCATTGAATGTCCCTGAGTTCTATGAAAGAGGAAGAAAAACCTTTGTCCATCCACTTGCTCCTCACCATCCAAATTTTTATTTTAACTGTTGGCCACACAGGCTGGGGCCGATGGGAACTGCAAGCCAGCTACATCTGAAGGCTGCCATGTTGCCTACCACTGCCATAACCATTCCTGAGCATGTTAAAAGCTCACACCTGACTGATCCAGGGTGACTAAGAACACCAGGAAGCCCTATGCATAAATATATGTGACTTCCACATACTAGCCTCACTCTTTGGAATGGCCAGCCTTTGTTTACTTGGGTTGTCTGCTGTTGTTAAGCCACATTGTTTCCTGTGAAATCCTCCCATGAGCTCCGCACACCCAATTTGTGGGCGATTCTGTGAACACAAATGCTGCAGCACCAGCCCTGTCCCGTGCGGACAAGCAAAGCACCTTTAAGGCTTTCCAGGTTTAATGAATGTTTGCAGGTCCTGTCCGTTTTATTGCCTGCTTGTGATTGCAGCTGGGGGATTAGCAATAAATAGCCTCTTAATTGCTCCTTGAATAGCCTCTCTTAATTGCGCTCTCTCTCCCCCCCTTTTCTTGGGGGAAGGGGGAGTGCTGAAGACGCTTTAATTACCTATTTCCTCTCATTATCCTTTCTAATTTCTTTCTTTCCATTGTTTTTATAGCCAAGCAACACTTCTGCTATCCTAGACGGCGTATTTCCTGGGTAACGTTTTTTTAAAAGTGTATAATAGTAGATTAATGTTCTTTTTGCTTTTCATACTTCCATGAAAAAGTGAGAAGTAATAAAAAAAAGTCTTCCCCCATGAAATATAAACAACGGAGGGCTTATTCACATCTCCATTTGCCCCACCAACCCCCCCGCCCCGGAAACCCAATCTTAAGCGCTAAATTGGAACAAATGGCAATCGGGTTTTCTGCAGACTGCAGTTTGTTTCGATTCAGCACTAAAGACTGGGTTTTCTGGGGGAAGAGAGCAAAGGCAAAACCCCTCAGAGCCTTGCCTATAAAGTGTGGGACAAGCAGGAAGTGTGAATGAGCCCTGAGAGAGGCTATTTTGTCACTGATCTCCCAAACCTGATTGACCATGCCATGAGCTTTTTGTCTCATCCTGTGCAGCTGGGATGGAACGAGGCATTACAATAAGGTTACCAGATTTTCCCCCCAGTGAATCCAGGGACACTTTTCAACTTCAGTAGGAATGATAGGATTTTGTCAGGAGACTGATTTGTAAATCCAAGGACTGTCCCCGGGAAACTGAGACATCTGGTAACCTTACATTACAACTAACAGGGTTACTGCAACTGTCTGTCTCCCTAGTCTTCATCCCCTTGTGCGTTTCCACACTGCCTGTCTCACATAATTGGCTATTGGCACAAGGGAAATGACATCACACTGCAGGTTGTATCTAGTTTCATCCTTACAGTGTGAACCTAAGCAAGTTTCTTCAGAAGCAGGCCTCACTGATGTCAACAGCCCTCGCTTCCAAGACCGCAGCCTTCCTTGGATCTTGAATTTACATGACCTGACCTTGAATTACCGTATTTTTCGCTCTATAGGATGCACTTTCCCCCCTCCAAAAATTAAGGGGAAATGTGTGTGCATCCTATGGAGCGAATGCAGGCTCCTTGGCTTCAGCGATAGCAACGCGAAGCCTCCGAAGCACGGAGGGAGCGCTCCCTCCGTGCCCCGGAGGCTTCGCGTTGCTTTCGCTGAAGCCTGGAGAGCGAGAGGGGTCAGTGCGCACCGACCCCTCTCACTCTCCAGGCTTCAGGGATAGCCGCCTGAAGCCTCCGGAGTGCAGCGGGAACTCTCGCTGCGCTCCAAAGGCTTCGGGTTCCTTTTGCTGAAGCTGGGAAAGCAAGACTCTCCTGGCTTCAGCAGAGAGGGAGAGCTGCGCAGCGCCCCTTCAGCCAAGCGGGAGGAGAAATAGAAGGGGCTCCGTTTCTCCTGCCGCTTCGCTGAAGGGGCACTGAGCAGAGAGGGGGAGATCCCCCCCCCCCGTTCTCACCCTCCTATGATCCGGTGTGTCCTATGGTCTGGTGCATCCTATAGAGCGAAAAATACGGTGAATGGTTTCTCAGGTCAAACAGGATAGCTATTTGTATTTTCCTTTCAAAAGCACCTTGGCTAACCTGCTCACATCCCCTGTGGAGGGGCCATGCGCTACATGTAGAACTGCCTAAGCACATTCCCAGGCATCACCAGTAATAGGCATGGAAAAGATCTTTGATTGAGACCTTGAAGATTGACTGCCAGTTAGTACAGCACTGGATTAGATGGGCCAAATCAGAGTGAGGCAACTCCTTATGTTCATACGCGTCAACCTGCGGGTTCATGAAGTGATGTACTTTGTTGCCTTCTTCATTCTATGGTAGAAAATCTCACCTTGGGACAAGAGGCTGGGCAATAACCAACTTGGTCTTTGCGTCTTACGGTTCAGATACGGAGCGTATGGCTTACCATTTCATAGAGGCTAAAGCGATCAATAGGATGACTATGTTCCCCCTCCACTGTCACAGGCAGTATGCCTCTGAATACCAGTTGCTGGTAATGGCAGGAGGGGAGAGTGCTGTTGTGCTCAGGTCCTCCTTGCTGGTTTCCCACGGGGACATCTGGTTGGCCATTGTGAGATCAGTAGGCTGGCCTAAATTGACCTTTGGCCTGATCCAGCAAGGTTCTTCTTATGACATCACCATCATCTCTGAAACCAGCCCTACAGAGATCCCCCACATTCCAGATTTCTTAAACCACATGCCATTTCCCTGAGCCTCGTTGAGTCCCTGGCTTGCGTGAGTGGGATGTGACCTGAGCAATGTCTCTCAATGCATCTTCAATGGGATTTGCACTTCTCCCGCCCTCAACAGCCCACTGCCGCTCTCTGAGACCCACCACCACGGGCCGCACAGCATGAAAAAGCTATGAAGAGAAGGGCTGGGACCTGGGGTCGCCAGACCCTCCAAGACTCACCTCAGAATTGAAGCGGATCTGGCAGACGTTGCAAGAGATGATTGGGCGCTTGGCCTTGGCTATGGGTACCCCAAAGGTGTGGTTGATCACTGCTTTCTGCACTGGGTCCATCTGCCAGAGGAAAACAAGGAGGAAGGAGGAGGAAGAAATGGTGGTCAGTGAATATAGCCTGCTATGCCTACAAGGCTAACTTCTTACCAACTAATCTAACTGAAGGTAAAACCACGTAACCCTATGGCAGCTAGTTTTGAGGCTTCTGAGCCAGACACCCAATGGTGAGCTGGTCATGCGCTGTCTGTAAATCAACAAGTTCCAGTGGGGTGGGAATAGCCCTAGCTTGGGCTGGGAGAGGTGGCCAAGATTTCAGAATTAACACTGAAAGGCTACTTTTGACTATGGTTAGCTTTCCCTCCCCCATCACTGCTGCGGGCAGAGAATTGGATTTTCTGCATTAGGCAATGAAATGTCTTGGGCTGCCACAGAGCTGAGAGAATTGAGCAAATTGCTGCCCACCCCCATTCGCACCATTTACACAGAGAGGTTCTATGTATGTGATAACCCCAGGAACTAAGGGAAGGGGAAACAGAACAAGCACTGGACAGTCTCCAAGAACAAAGAGATAAGGCAAGGGTAAGTAAGGAATCTCTGGCCTGGGGGGCATGCATTTGGCCCCAGGCCTCTATCTGGCCCTCAGGACTCTCTAGACACTCCCCTCATTGGGCCTGCGTCAAACTTTCCTCAGGTGTTTTTGCCTGGCTAGGATCTATCCCCGCTTGCATGGATGGAGGCTACAGAGGGGGGTGTGCAGAACAAAGGAAAAATGGAAATTTGTTGCTTGCCAGCTTTTGCCTCTGGAGGCATGTAACCCCCCCCCCCGAAGGCTCCCCAAAACAAAATGAGGCCCTCAGGGTGAAAATAAGTTCCTCACAGTGCCGGATTTAGGGTGTTGTGGGCAGTTCTCCCAGAAAATGGTGCTGAGCTGAGGGGGTGCACAACAACAACAGCAGCAGCAACCTATATTTATATGAGTACCTACTCAAAGTTAGAAATATTGAGGGGCGGGGGATTTTGTCATTGCTCAGGGTGCCATATTACAAAAGTCTGCCCCTGCTGGGACGGAAGCCCAGATAAATAATGGTTTGGCATAGTTGTGGGGGAGAGAACCAAGAGTGGGGAGGAGGGGGAACACCACCAGGTTGTGGAAATCTCACTAGGGACACCTATGACCTATTCCACGATGACCTAGATTTACATATTATACCAGTCATCCATATGCTGTGGAAATCCGTATTATATTGCCCTTTTCTTGAGAATCCCCAACTGGAAAACACCCTCCCCCCTTCCCCGCTTGTATTTGATAGTTTTCACTTCTTAACCTTTATTTTATCATCGCCACCCTGTAACTTAAGACATCTCGATTTCTCTCATTTGCTATTATTGGACAAAAGCAACCCAGAGATCCAACTGAAAAGTGAGAACAAAGCATGATACATTTTAAGTTTCATCTTCATGCAAATGGATGGGTGATGTTTGCGTGTACTATTACTGGTGACACTAGGTGTTAAACTGCACTTTGTCACAGTTACTTTAAACAGGAATGTGTGTACTGCAGGGTGACTGGCACTTAAGCAGAACTGCACACAGCACACAGTTTTAGGGTTCCTGTGACTTTAAAAAGATGGCTGCTGGTGAAGTCCGTAGCCTGGGAAGTTCCTGAGTCAAATCTTGCCTTAGCTATGAACTTGCTAGGTGGCTGGAGGCAAATCGCCCTTCTCCGCTGCAACATGGGAGTGAGAGAATAATATTTATTATATTTATCACATTTTTATCCCCCCCTTCCTCCAATGAGTATAGGGTGATAAAGATGTTGCCAATCCCATGATATCCTCAAAACAATCTTGCAAGGTAGATCAGCTGAGAGATAGTGATTTGTTTGGGGGGTGGGGCTGGCCAGCGAGCAGAGATCTGATACCTGCCCCCCCCCAAAAAAAACTGTCCACTCCATCACACTGGCTTCTGTAACAGTTCCTTCTCTTCTTGTAAGGATTACCAGGTTAGCATATGCAGTGCTTTCTTTTCTTGTAAAATAGGTGCTGGCACTCAACATGAAGTTGTTACAGTAAGTGCCACACTTTTTAAGAACTAAAAAAAAAGTGGTGTAAAAAAAAAAGCACTGAACATATGCGATGTGCTTTGTACGCTCGTAAGTTTTCCATTGCGGGTGGCGCTGTGGGTTAAACCACAGAGCCTAGGACTTGCTGATCAGAAGGTCAGCAGTTCGATTCCCCACGACGGGGTGAGCTCCCGTTGCTCAGTCCCTGCTCCTGCCAGCCTAGCAGTTTGAAAGCACGTTAAAAGTGCAAGTAGATAAATAGGTACTGCTCCTGCGGGAAGGTAAAGGGCATTTCCGTGCGCTGCTCTGGTTTGCCAGAAGTGGCTTAGTCATGCTGGCCACATGACCCGGAAGCTGTACACCGGCTCCCTTGGCCAATAAAGTGAGATGAGCGCTGCAACCCCAGAGTCGGTCACGACTGGACCTAATGGTCAGGGGTCCCTTTACCTTTAAGTTTTCCATGCATGTTAAGTAGTCATGCTACCCTCCACTCCACTGCAAAGAAATTATGAAAGATTTGCAACTTAAAAATAATAATCATCATCACTTGATCAACATGATACACTCGTTTGGGGTGGGGAGGGAGAGGTTCAGGGAAGGCAGGGAAGGGCATTGTTAATTCTCAACGGAACTGCACCTGTGAACACCACAGAAATCCAGTTGCTTAGCCACCCAGTGTCCCCCCAGAAAACCTGTCTACTGCCCTCCGGCCTGTGAAACTCCAACCGGTCACACAAACAGCAGCAAGCCCCCGTGATTCTGCACATACGACTAAACATGCGGGAAAATGTTCTGACAGTAGGAGCTGTTCAACAGTGAAATGATCTCCATCATGAGGTTGTGGACTCTCTCTGTTTTTAAGCAGAGGTTGGATGGCTATCTGTCATGGATGCTTCAGCTGAGAGTCCTGCATTGCATGGGGTTGGACTAGATGCCTCTTGGGGTCCCTTCCAACGCTACGATTCTGTGATTCTAACTCCCTTTGGGACCTGGCAGCGACGTTGACTGAATTTGAAACCGGGCTCGGTCCATTAGCCAGCGGGCCAAAGATTCTGGGAGTTCCCTGGGCTACTGCTCTGGCCCATCCATTTCTCACGCCTCTGTCCTGGGTCTCGCTCCAGTCTTCTTTCGCTATCCCCGGCTGACACATCTTGGACTGCATATATTATACCCTTATCATCGCATGTTGCGTTGGGGGACTCCATGCTGACACTTCCATGCAGAACCGCATGGGTTTGCAATGCTACTGGAGACTTTGAGATCCAAGAGCTCCACTCCTCCAAGTCTAACCTACTGGAGACCCCAGCCACTGACAGCACAGGCAAAGGTTTGATTGGCTTGCTGGCTGCATCGCAAGGAAGTATGACTAGGCTTTGAAATGCTGCAAAGGGGACACTTCATTGGGCAGTCACGCCCCCATAAGGATCTCGACAGCGCAGAACATAATTAATAAATTCTTGGCATAAAGCTGGAGCAGGGCCCAGCCTTGGTTGGCTGTTTGGCCCCGGTTTCTGTGATTACAATATAAATTGTCAACAGGCAGCTGCTGAAAAGGCAGGAGCCAACTCCAGCGCCAATTGCCTCATCACAGAGAGATTTAGTATTCAGGGGAAAGGCAGGAATCGAGGACACAGCGCCATATGGGGACCCTCAAGAAATGATAGCTGAGTCTAGTGTTTGCCCACAAGGTCCACAGTGGGGAAATGGCATCATCTCAGTTGCGGATGTCCATCCAAATTGGCAGCCGGTCAGGGCATTTTCAGACAGAAGGCTTAGATTTCAGAGCTCTTTGCTTCAGCTGGGTTGCTAATGTAAGTTTAAAACGTCACATTAGGCAAAATCCTCATCTGCATTACAAATGACCCTTTCCTACATTCTCTCCCACTTGAAGAGTGACCATTTAGGTTAGCAGAAGCGTCTCAGAGGCTATTTGAGCCCCATATAGGAAAATGGCATATATAGTGCATAGCTCCTTCTGAGACCTACTTATTTCATTCTTGCTCTCAGGAAGGTATGGTGGGGGGTGCAGAGGTTCGTAACAAAAAAGCTTTTCTTTTATTAAGGTAATACACACTTTTGCAGGATTGGTCTAGTTTACCTTGTTCACATGTTACACTGAACACACGTTCTCTGTACACATGTACAAGTGTTTGTGTGAAAGAGTATACTGTATGCTTGATTTGGACAACTCAGTTATTGTGTGCAGAGGCACAAAGACTGTACACTCATTGAAAAACTGGATGAGTGTACAGTGGTACCTCTAGATACGAACGGGATCCATTCCAAAGCCCCGTTCGCATCTAGAGGTAAACGTAACTAGTGACAGCACGTATGCGCACGTGCGCGTCGCTTTTTGGCGCTCCTGTGCATGAGTGTGACGTCATTTTGAGAGTCTGCGCATACGCAAGCGGCGAAACCCGGAAGTAACGCGCACCGTTACTTCCGGGTTGCTGCGGAGCGCAACTCGAATGCGCGCAACTCGAAGCGTATTTAACCCGAGGTATGACTGTATAACTAAACTATTTGTGCACACAGGTACACGGATCGTACACTCATTGAATGCAACTCGCGTCCCCCGCCCTTTCAATATTTTTTTTGTCGCGCCTTTCCTCCATTAACCATTTATTATTGTTGTTTTCCCCATGGCAAATTCATGTCAGGTTTCATGTGAACAGAATCCGCTAACTTCTTCCAGCAGAAGCTAAACCTGGCTAATTACAAATCCAGAACCAAAATAGTTCACCCTCCTGCCTCAAATGTCTCCCTCCCCACTTCCCCACGTTTTTCTAGTAATCTGGATCAAATTTATGGGGTGCTGTGTGTTGTGTATGACCCAATTGCACAAATTCCATTTCTTATTAGGGAGGAGAAGGCACAATAACCTAAGGTGTGCTAATCCAGGAAAAGGAAGGATGTATGTATTGAAAGCGTGCAAAGCTTTGTCCTGGGACTACGAGTAGCAAAAATTAAAATTAAATGAAAATGCAATAGAAATACT